GCTTGCACAACCTTTGGAAGGAAAGGATCAGATAAATACTTTAAAGATAATTGTGGACTACAAAGGATTTTCCTGCCCACTAATCAGTTATCAACATGGTGGCAGTCTGGAGACCTTGGAGGCTCTTGGCAGTGTCCCTGTCGGGGAGAAACTAGGTATGAAAACCTAGGTGGCAATAATTGTGGATTCTTCTTGGGAGCAATTCATTGATATTTTTTTCTAATGATGATAGGCAGCACAGGCTACTTGGTGTGCCACATGTATAGGTAATATATTGACCTGAGTTACAGAATACAAATTAGGGCTGCACCAAGTTTTTAAAAAAGGATATTTGAAAGAGGTGCTTTAATATGTTGAAATATTCAAGCAATAAAATTTCTGAGAAAGTCTGAATGGATACTTTGAAGGCTTTCTTTAGCTTCTGTGCATGAAATATGTTTCTTTTTGTTAGTAATAGCAGTAGACTTATATACCGCTTCATAGGGCTTTCAGCCCTCTCTAAGCGGTTTACAGAGAGTCAGCATATTGCCCCCAACAATCTGGGTCCTCATTTTACCCACCTCAGAAGGATGGAAGGCTGAGTCAACCCTGAGCCGGTGAGATTTGAACCGCTGAACTGCTGATCTAGCAGTAGCCTGTAGTGCTGCATTTAACCACTGCGCCACCTTGGCTCTAGTGACTCCAATGGACCTATTATGCATGCATGAACATGCAGTTCCAGACAGCCAGAGATAGCTAGCGAACCTTTCAGAGAACACCATTTTTTAAAATGAGGTAGAAATATTTTTTTTTTAAAGATTTGTTATATGGCTGTACTGCAAAGTATTGGAGTAAAAAGAAGAAAAAAAGTTTATTGATCTTAAATATGTTTTTGATCTCATCTCTAGCTCCAGACAATGGGAGAAACTGGACTTTTCCTCAAGTGATAAAAGATTACTTGTCCTTATATACTGTAGAAGCTATATTAAAACCCAGATGAAGGTGCAATGTAATGCTTAAGAACACTGCACAAAAGAAATCCCTGTTGAGGTAAATAAGACAAGTGTATATTCTAGCTTCTTTCTCTTTAATCTCTTTATTGCCTCTTATAGACAAACTGAGTAGTCTATCTCTTCCTCCACTAGAATTGGGAAATAGACACAGTCTGCTCTTTTGAATGTGGATGATACTGTGCTGCTTTCTTCAGACACTGAAATGGATGCTTCATATACTTTCTGAGCACTGTCTAAAAGAACGACTGGAAATTAATTACTCCAAAACAAATGTGAGAAGTTTTATATAAAAATATATTTGATTCTTTATACTCTTTCCATTTTCCCTTAATAAAATCCACAATGGTCTGAGAATCAGCATCTCCATAGATAATCAACAGTCAGGTGGAAACTAAATTAATGAGGTAAAAATAGCAAATGGGGAGAAATATTTTATTCAAACTCCCTCAAATCCACAAAAAATTATCCAGTCTTAATCCACATATCAAAGAATAAGGTCTGCAAACATAAATAGAGATAATTAAATTAAGTCTCCCAGCAAAACTGCATATTCACAAGAATAAACATTGCAGATACACACACATACACCCCCCCACACACCTCAAGTGTCACTCTAGAACCAGCACATGCACACCTTCACTCCAGGACAAGTTGTCCTATAAAAGTGTGCTGCTGTACTACATTTCTCTTTGGCAAACTCTTTGCTTTTAGGAATAAATATTTCGTTTCTTCAGAGCTGTCTGAATTTCATTTTTATTTATTCTTATGCAAGCCTACTCGAGTTGGAACCTCAAATTATTCTATTGATACCAAGGTCATGGTTTTTGCTAAGCCCTAAGGCACATACCTCATGAATAAACAATCATTTACTAGAGCAAGTAAAGACCTCTAAATATCTGGGAATTATTTTTTATGCTATGGGTATAAAAAATAAAAAGTTCATGCCAATTATGTTATTCCATATACACAAAAAACCTGTTAGTTTTACAATATTTCTATTTTCGGCAGGTTGCTCAGCATATGCCTGCATAAATTTGCCTTTTGCCTAAGAAGGAGAATGTGCGCATGTGCGACGGAAGATGGCTGTCTGAGCTCACCGCTCAGGCTGGAAGACAGGAAAAAAACATCTGGTCCGTGCCTCCGCCGACCACCAGACCTCTCAAACAGGAGAACTAGGGAGAGAGGAATCCAGGGCGTCCTGGAGGGCTGCTTGCTTGGAGAGACAGCCTCAGGCGACTTAGGACAAGCCTCGGCAGTGTCGGATGGTGTGGGACGGCCTTCGGGCGGCGTTCCCCCCCCCACAGATGGTGGTGTTTCTTAGCTGACAGGCAGCGTTTTCGTCTGGTGTGGATTGAGAGAGGCAGCGTTTTCGCCAGGAAGAGCGGCGTTTTTCATCTGGAGGGAGACTGGAGGGAGACTGCTTTGGATAGTTCTTGGTGGTGAGCGACTATTAGGTGCCCCCTCCCTCGCCACACACACCCTCACCACATGAACAATGGACAATGACGGAGCTTTCTTTAACGAGGCAAGCTTAACTTGACTGACTAACTTGACTGTGCAGAAGAAAGTGAAACCTTTGTCCAGGAGCTTGGTTTTTGCGGCTAGAAGGAGTAAGAACTCCCCAGCATATTTGTGCCAGCAGCGTATTGAGGAGATTAATCTCCCCAGAGCTGCTTGGCACGGAAGACGCAGATGACGGAAAAAAAGCACTGGGATTGGGGCGGAGGCTGCCGACACTTCAGACACAGCCCGAGAGAAGCTGCCGACAATAGCGCGGCTTGGAGGCGCGGCTGCCAGGGTCCCTGGCTGGAATTGCTTGCTGCTGGTTGCTGGAGACCATCGTGCCCTGGGGAGCCGAGGGTGTCGCGGCTGCCTGGAGTGAGGTGACTGCCAGGAGCCAGGCAGTTTGCTGACTCGCCTGGAGACGCTGGGAGCTGCCGGAGCTCACATTAACGCCGGAGCTCACATTAACTCCGAGCCGCTGATCAGCTGTGAACCCACTAAGAGACTAACCAGGTTTGGAGGACACGGAAGGTGGCTGGAGTTCCTTGAGTTGATTGAGGAGAGATTGTTCTATTGAGAGACTGAGAAGAGAAAGCGCTGGCCTTATTAACACCAACATTAACTGCCAGGCGAACTGAACCATCTAGCGGACTTTGTGGTGCCGCCTATGATGAGAGGCGGGCGGAGACTTCCTGCCTGTGGGACCAGGGACGTCTGTCGGAGCCTGGAAGAGTGGGCTGAGACCATCTTGGCTGCCGGGGAGGCGGCTGTTGGTGACTGTTTGGGGGGACCCGACCCCCCCCCAGGTTGTCTGACGCCTCCTTCTGCTGTTGTGCTGCTGTAGGGTCAGGCTAGGGACAGGGTAGGGTTAGATTAGAATAGGGTGGATTAATTTAAGTTAGGTTAGGTTAAGGTTAGGGTTAGGGTGGAGGTGGGGTTGCTAGCCTGATGGCCTACCGATGGGCTGCCTCCACCGGGAGTGTCACGGTACAGCTGGGAGTGGGGTTTTCCCCCCCTTTTGCCGTGGGGTCTACCGGCTCCCGGGTGTTCTCTGTTCCCGACGGGGGAGGGTGTTGCTGGCCGCCGTTGCCTGTGGCTGGCCCTACAACTTCCGCCATTATTTGTTGCCTATGGCCTGCTTGCTTCTCAGACTTTCCTGGCCTCTCCTGGACTACAACTGGGTCATCATCATATGCCCGTTATTATTTCTNGCCCTGCTCAGAGTCAGAACCCTCTACAGGGCCCTTCGCCTCCTCCAGGCCTGACTCATAGGGCCCCTCGCTGTCAGAGTCTGATAGCAGCTCCAAAAGCTCCTGCTGAGCCACAACACTATCCCTCACTGCAGGGCCCTTCCCCCGGGTCTGACGGTCAGGATGCAGTCAGGATGGGTTGTCCTTATGACAGGCTCGCAATCATCTCCTATATTTCATTCTTTGTGCTTTCCACTGAGTAGACCTCCACCTGTTTGCCTCCTGATATAACTCCCAAATACTTTCCGGAACATTCCCTTTGATCCAATGCTCTCCCGCCACCTGATGGCCACCCAGTCTCTCCTCGCCCTGCTCGGCGTCGACACCCTGTCCAGGGTCCTCCACATCCTCCAAGGCTGACTCATCAGCCCCCTTGCTGTCAGAGTCTGGCGGCAGCTCTAACGACTCCTGCCGGGCCACAACACCCTGTCCAGGGTCCTCCACCTCCTCCAAGGCCAACTCATCAGCCCCCTTGCTGTCAGAGTCTGGCGACAGCTCTAACAACTCCTGCCGGGCCCCAACACTATCCCCCACCGCAAGGCCCGTCCCCCGAGTCCGATGCTCGGGATGCGGCCCGGAAGGGTTGATGACGGCCTCCATGGGACTCAGCCCAAGACACTGGTGGGCCACCGGGATCCCAGAAATGAAGTCCTGTGCTGCGGGGACTGGGGTCAGCAAGGGTTGTAATCTTGGAGAAGCCCTCCTCGCAGACCTGGTTCTTTGACACTGGACACACGACACCATGCACTTCAACACATCATTTCCTAAGCGGGGCCACCAAAACGTACGGGATACCAGGTGCAATGTCTGGAAAAAACCCCAACGGGAGCGTCATGAAACTGAGAGAGCACCCTTCGACGGATGGGCCCTGCGGGAACATAGAACCAGTCCCAATACTTCAAAAGATCCCCTTCCAAAGTCCACGGGGAAGCCAGCCCTACTTCTGCCTTTCGTTGCTCCACCCATTTGTCACCCCGCTGCTCATCCCGTATCAGAGACCGTATGCTCACGGGATGATAAACTGCAGCGCAGGATAGCCACTGGGCACTTCCTCCTTGGCTGGGGGGGTTTGCAGATCTCTGCAATTGAGAAATTTGATCCGCCAATACTGCAATTTGCTGAGCCAGCTGGGCGTTCTCAGCGTGAAGCTGCTCCATAATTATATGAATGGAGGTTTGTCTGGGCAGAAGTCAAACTGTTCTGACCCCCACCTTGTCCGTTCAGAAACGAAANCGCGGTTTAGTCGAGCGCGGTTTTGTGGTGGAACCACAAATTTATACAAACCATGTATATAAATTTATACAAATCTATAAATTTCACTTGTATAAAATCAATTATTATTTTGACAAGGACTACATGCTCAACAAGGCCCAGATAGGAGTCAAACAAACTTCCAACAATTGATTAATTTACAAGCTTAAAAAAGAGGGTGGGGGGACAAAATTGATGGACAGAAGAGTGAAAACAAATAAGAGTGCATTAAAATGGAAGGTACAGCACAGTTGATAAGGAGTGGAAATCGCTGTTAGCTAACAGGATAGTTTTAGTGAAATGTGGTTAAGACTAAAAAAAAAAATCTGTCCATTACTGTACCTCTGTGGATGATACTTGATATTCATAGCACTCTGATGGTTTACAAGGAGATGACGTTTTGCTGTTTATCAACCATGGTTTACCATAGTTGCGTGTCTGTATGAAACAATGGCAAATCACAAGGTGAAGAACAGTTGTTGGAAAACAATGTCATGAAATGGAACAAGTCAGGTTAGGAAGAATGAATCTCACAGTTTAAAAGTCCAAAACAAGACATCAAAACCGAGCAGGACAAGTGATGAAGCAAGCAATTCTGTATGGAAAAAAGGATTGTGTGTGTTTTCTAAGGTGCAATGGGGGGGGGGGCAATGTTTCACTCCTTGAACAAGTTGGTTCTGTGGTCTAAATGGCTTACATGTTTTTTCCCAGTCTTGTATAACCGCTGCATATTGTAAGGCGGGGAGGAAACAATAAAAAAAACTTTGTTAGAGTCTTTGGAAAAAAAATAACTAAAATCTCCATATTGGTGTTAAGGCAGTTTCATTGCTACTAACTGACGTTCAGTTGGGCTCAATCCTATCAAGTAACATTAATTGTAACGGATATCAAGTCTTATCAAAGATTATTCAAAATTGTACCTTGGGTGTACTAGCAGCAAGAGCTGAAACTGGAGTTCCTTGGGCAGCTTGATTGGATACAGACATGGATCTGTTGGGAGAAGCTCCCCTCGAAGAAGGCCGCGACCGACGTCCTCTTGACCGGAAGGCAGCCATACTTTGGGAAGGCCCATCCGCTAACATGAACTTCTCCCGGAGCTCCATGTTCGTCCTCCCTTTGGCTACAGTGAATGAAAAAAAGACAAATTAGGAGTCTGATCATTTGCCTCCTCTTCCACACCATTGCCTTGCCAAGTCTCAACAAGTAAGCCAAACAAATCAAACACATTAGTAATGCGTTTGAAAGAAAACAAGTTCACCGATAAAATGTGCGCGTCTAATGTTCTAGGCCAGCAAAAGATGAACCACGGTCAACATACATCAGCGTGAGAATGGAATGGCTCAACATGCTATTTGGTTACTGGGGCACAGACACACCCTGAGGACCCACTCAACTAATGCTATTGCTTCTTGGGTGATTCAGAAACAGATGTTGGCTATGATAAGCAGACAAGAGAGAGCAAAGGGTAAGCCATATTCATTCTAAACTGGGAATCATACAATCTGGTCACATGCAGAGCGGATAGAAACTCCCAAACTCTTAAGGAAGGGTTTGGATGTTAAATACCGACGGGATGCTGTTATGAGAGGACAATGCACAAGGATCAGACGCGTAGACATGTTTAGCGTTTGATGCCCCTTGAGGTTAGCAGCAATGGCTTTCGAGACGTTTTCTCAAAGTCATCGTTTAAGTTTCGAGGGAAGCTGTCAAGCGCCCGCCAGCCCAGGGCAACAAGTGTTAAGCTAAAACTGCAAGGCGTGAAGCGTTTTGTTAAAACAGATTTTGATATATATATATATTGAAGCAGAGCGAGAAAGAAATCGAAAAAGAAAATAAGAGCAGGAGAGACAAAGAGAGGGATTTGCCCACCTAGCGTAGGCTGAGTGGTAATTGAAGAGTTTGATTCCGAACGTAACATTTTACTCCCATGATGATGAACTAGAAAAAATGGACACAGGACATGGGTCACATTAAAAGAAAATTGTTAGCAGGAGAAGAATCAATCACAGCAGAGGCATATATGCGAGAGACTCAAAGCCGAAGAGCAAGAAAGAGAACTCGACACAACTTTTTGCTAGCTCTTCCTACCCGAGATCAAGTCTCTCGGGAAATACCAAAGTCTCCTAGTATGATTTCAATAGCAAATACTTCCAATGTCATCTATGTTAAAAAAAACAACAACAACACTTCTCTCTCAAAATGAAGAAATGTAACAAAAAGAAGAATGGAAGAAACCATGCCAACCTGAAAAAGAAGACAAAATCCCACACGGTAGGTGTTTAAATCATCACTACTATTCACATTTTATCTTTCTAAACACAAGGCTGTTTTTTTCATTATAGATTTTCAAAAGTTGAGTTTATTATATTTTATTATATTTATTATATATAATAATAATATAATAAACTCAAAAGATTGCAATCTTGTTCCTCTCCTTGAGTGACGACAATCTTAAACATTCTATTGTTCGGACATAATATTTATTTATTTATTTGTTAATTTGATAATTTATTTTCAATCTTTTCTCAAGGAGTTCAATGTAACCTACAAAGACATTTTCCCCCTCCGCACATTTTTTTTCTGCAACAGCAATCTTGTGTGGATGAATGGATTGAGAGTGGCTGGCCTAAAGTCACCCAAGTGAGTTTCTGTGGCTGAGGATGAACTTGAACTCGAGTCTCTCCAGTGTAACTAAATCGTGCTTAGCTAGTCTGGACTACTACGGATCAAATACCTCATCTTAACTTTGTAAAACTACCTTTGGAAAATTAAAAAAAACAAAAACAAAATCAATTTTACATTCGTATTCAGGGATATATATTTTGTTTTTCAGCAAACCACAAAAACGTTTTCCATATTTCTATATACTGGTATTAAAGAGAATTTTATTCTTACAAGGTGAAGCTTGTTAATGACCACACAAAATATAGTAATGATAGGAATCCTTCTCTTGATTTATATGGAAAATGAAGAAAATCTGATTGTGTTAGAAAACATTGGTGTTCCTTTAAATGAACACCAATGCCTCCTTATTCAACACCTATTTGTAGAAATTGCCATCTGCTTCAAAACTACAATGCCTTTTTAGCCTGAGCATTAGCTGCTAATTCGGTGTCTTTGCTTGACTAGTTTAACCCATTTGAAACTACTTATTATAGCCTCTCTTTTTCCTTTCCAGCCATTTCTTTCTGTTCCCCTCACCAAATATCTATTTCATTCTTTCTCTTTTCTTCCCTTCCTCATGCAAGAATACTTTCCCCTTATTCTGAGTCTACCTTGTTCCCTCCACCCCTCGTCTTTTCCTTTGTCATGTCTGCTGGGGGGAAAAAAGGAGGATGTGTAAACAGAAATGAAAAGTTTTGGCAGGAGAGAATGGTTTATAAATAGAAATGGAGATTCATTTTGTAATCTGATGATCCATTAATGTTGTAAAATAAGTTGTAAGTCCTGATGTTCTTAGCCAGTGATGTGCGGTGAGGTTTATGGCTGGTGAGGCAGAAATTTTTTTTAGACTTGTGGATTTCAACTCCCAGAATTCCACAGCCAGGCATGCTCAGTTCCGATTTAAAGTGACAGCATTTGTTTTTCTCCTTTGCTAAATAAGTTTCCTTCTTTCTTTTTCTTCTCCCTTCTCCTTCCTCTCTCCCTCCCACCCCCCTCTCTCAAACACACACACACACACACACACACACACACACACACAC